AAAGTTATGATTATTATTATTATTATAATTATTATTATTATTATCATCATTATTATTATTATTATTATTATTATTATTATTATTATTATTATTATTATTATTATTATTATTATTATTATTATTATTATTATATATATATATATATATATATTTAAATATTTCTAAACTAAATTTGATAATCTTCAGAACTGCCGTGACGTGTCTCAAAGCCTGGGCAGGTCAGATCGTGGCGGGATATCTGTCAGGTCACATCAGGATATTCAACCTTCATGACGGCAGGATACAGGCTGAGGTAACTGAAGGATACATGAAAAAAAGATAAATAAATGAATAGAGGAATAGATGAAGAAGTAAATGAATAAATTGATTAATTAATCAGTCGCCTAATAGCAAAGGTCGTTTATTTATTTGTCTGTCTATCTATTTTTCCATTTATTGTTCCTTTTATAGGAATTTATACGAATTGAAAGGGATTTTAAGGTTTATATATGATAAAAGGAGTATAGGTATAGCTTATGTAAAAGGAACCTCGTTTGTTTAATAATTTTGGTGAAACGTTTTCTGAAAAAAAAATCAGTGAATGTTATGGACTCAATATAATTATGTATTTTAATGAAACGTAGTTATTTATTGCTAGTGTTTTTTTACTTAGAATATTCTTATTTTGTTGTTGTTTTGATATTATGATTGTTATTATCAATATTTTTATTATTGTCATTAACATTATTAATGTTATTATTATCATTATTATTATTATTATTATTACTATCATTATTATTATTATTACTTGTATCAATATTATGATTATCCTTATTTTATTGTTGTTATTATTGTTATTAGTAGTACACTTATCGTTATTATTATTATTATCTCTTTGTCTCCCTCCACCCTCTTCCTCTCTCTCTCTCTCTCTCTCTCTCTCTCTCTTTCTTTCTCTCTCTCTCTCTCTCTCTCTCTCTCTCTCTCTCTCTCTCTCTCTCTCTCTCTCTCTCTCTCTCTCTCTCTCTCTCTCTCTCTCCTTTTCCTACCCCAGGTCTGCGCCCACGTGCGAGCGGTATCTGGCCTGGACATCGCCGTGGAGTCGGGTCTTCTGATCACGTCAGCGGAAGACACTTACGTCAGGGTGTGGCAGCTTGGCAAGATCGACGTTCCTGTGAGTTCCTTTGTGGATGGAAATGTTTTTTTTCTTTTTTGTTTTTGAAGTTTAGGTTATTTATTGGTATTTTCTTCTTTTTTGAGGGGTCTTACTTTTTTTTATTTGTTTTTATGTTTATTTTTAATTTATTTTGTTTATTTATCTTATTTTTATTCATTTTTTTTTAAATCTTGTGTCTGTGTGCGCTGACTTACAAGTGTAGATACATATATGCGTGTATACATGTATAAGTACATGGATTCCCTTGTGAAGAAAATAGGTCCCCTTATTATGACTCTTATATATATATTTTTTTTTTCTTTTTTTAATATTATGTTATGTCTGCGCATGTAGATTTACGCATGCATATCTGTGAAAAATACGTCATGCCATTTTTATTTTTCTAAATCTATACGTTACGGACTTACATGTGTACATACATATCCACTTCCTTACCCATCCATACCCGTCCCTTTTTTCACAGATCGAGCATAAGTACAGTTTCAGCGAGCGAGACACGTCCCTCTGTGGCGTGGCGTTCACAGACGATCTCGGGGCAGGCTACCTCACTACAGGCTACGATCGTCTCGACCTGCTTTGCTACGCTATGTAATGTGGAGAGGGGGGGAAGGGGGGGAGGGGTTGTGTCATCCCTTCGGTACTGCGCTCTGGCTGTGTTTGTGTGTCTGTTCTATGTCTCTCGCTGTGTTTTGTTTATGTTTGTCTCTCTCGTGCTCTGTTTGTATTTGTCTGTCTGTCTCTTGCTCTATTTGTCTGTGTCTGTCTCTCTCGCTCTGTTTGTCTGTGTCTGTCTGTCTGTCTCTGTGTTTGTCTGTGTCTCTCAATCTCTATCGCTCTACTTGTCTGCATCTATCTGTCTCTCTCTCTCTCTTGTTTTTTTACCCCTCTCTCTCTCTCTCGCTCGCTCTATTTGTCTGTCTCTTTCTCTGTCTTTCTGTCTGTCTCTTTCTCTCTCTCTCTCTCTTTCTCTATCTGTCTCTTTCTCTTTCTTTCTCTATCTCTCTCTCTTTCTCTATGTAAGTCTACGATCTGTGTAAGACAACTTATGCATTTTCCTTCTTACTAATGCGTTTGTAGAGTAATGCAAATGCAGTGTTTTCATCCTTCTTGCGCCCTGCTCTTTACTCTCAATGAGTGTCTATTGCATGTTGCTCTCTATTTTTTTTTGCATAATATGTAAGAGGATCACTGTGGTTTTCAGTACCCATGTTGCCTCTTTTATCACAGAACAAAAATGTCATTGTGTTTTTTTCTTTTTCCTCTCCTCGTTTCTGTCCTTATTACGTCAGTGTAGTTAGTGTTATTTTTGTGATACTTTCTTTCTCAAGATAAAGGATTATGTGTTACCTTTTGCCTCTTGTCTGATATAAATGTTATTTTTAAACAAAATCAAACGATCACTCACTTATCAGAACCATCTGCATATATTTCTTCCATTGTGATATAAAAAAGCTTCCAGAATCATGATCATTTAATTATATGTTTAAAATAATTTCATATTACGAGTTATCTTTTATAACTATGTGGTATTTTTTTTTACTGGGTAAATTCTCTTTTTTTTCTATTTTCATTATCAAGTTAATTATTATCATTGTAATGAGCAATGAGCAAAAACTATGTTTGAAATCACTTGAAAATTGCAGTATGATAAAACATATAAATCTAGTTCTGTCTATAAACTGAATCTTATGTAATAGTAAAAATAAAATTGGTATTTTATCGTGGGTTTTCTGAATATAAAAGCTTCCCCCTTTTTAATACCCATTTTTTATAATCATACAGCATATTCCTTAATCCCAAATATAACATGAACGCGAGGAAGAGAAGCAGATAGGCAGACGAAGAAAGAGAGGCAGATAAGCATATGAAGAGTAGGAGGTGGAACAAGAAACGTAAGAGAGAGAAAGAGCAAAGAAGAAGATGGAAAGAATGAAAACGAAAAAAAGCGTGGAAGTGTGTAAGAGAGAAAGATACAGGGAGAGAGAGAAAGAGAAAGAGCGAGAGAGAGTGAGAGAGAAATTAATCAAAAAGGAAAAGAAAAGAGAACAAGACAAAATAAAAACACACAAACACACGAGCTGGGAAAGTGAAAATACACACTTTTATAAACAAGATTTAATAATATACCCAAGGATAATAAATATTCATGGAATATATATAAAAAATTTATACTAACATCGCACATTTATTTTCTTTCAAAAAATTCTTCAAAAATATGTATCAAAATAATAGTATGTACATCAATTTACATCAAACGAACATTTACACATTATCAAGAAGAGTATTCACATATATTAAACTCCATTATCTTGTTAGTCAAGAAAATAACGACAGAAAACATTACAAAAAAAAAGAGTATTTCTTTTCTTTTTAAATCAAAGTCTGTTATGCAGGAGGAAAATGCAAGAAAAAAAGAAAAACAAAAACAAACAAAAACAAACAAAAAAATACGGACGTCATATTGGCGGACTGATAACGATTTCTAATGAATATAATGAAAATATTCAATAAAAAAATATGGTTATAAGACAAGATTGATAATAAAAAAAAACAAAGTACAGCAGATACTGACCATAATAATAATAATAATAATAATATCAAGAAACATGATGGAAAACATAATTACCAACTGCATTATGACGATAACCACAACAGCAGTATAAAAACAACACCGAATGGCCTAAAAACAAAGACAAAAAAAAAGAAAAAAAAAAAAAGAAAAGAAAAGATGAATGAGACAAAGAGAACCGCAGTAAACATAGAACAGAAGTAAACAAAGAGAGCTGGACGAGAGGCAGGTATTGTTAGCAACAGACTGGCTCTGGAGAATATGTGTTTGGGTGGTTATGCGAAATTAGAATGGAAATAGGTGACAAGTATTAAGTATCATAAGATTGGTGAGCTCGTTGTCAAGGATTTATAATGTGTATGCATAAATATTTGTTCATACACACGCGCGCGCACATCGCACACGAACACGCACGCGCATACGCACACGCACGCACGCACACACACGGACGCGCGCGCGCGCACACACACACACACACACACACACACACACACACACACACACACACACACACACACACACACACACACACACACACACACACACACACACGATTGCATGTATCATACATACATTTATATGTAGAAAGAGGGGGGGAAGAGGAGGAGGAGGAGGAGGAGGAGGAGGAGGAGGAGGTGGAAGGAGGAAGAAGAAGAGAAGTATGAGAGAGGAGAGAGGGAGAGGGAGGGAGGGAGGGAGGGAGGGAGGGAGAGAGAGAGAGGAGAGAGAGAGAGGAGAGAGAGAGGAGAGAGAGGAGAGAGAAAAGAGAGAGAGAGAGAGAGAGAGAGAGAGAGAGAGAGAGAGAGAGAGAGAGAGAGAGAGAGAGAGAGAGAGAGAGAGAGAGAGAGAGACACAACAGCCCATAAAATTTCTTACAAAAATACTGCATTACACTGTTCACTTCAGCAACTGCCAAATGTATTGCTAAAATCTGGGAATGGGCGCTAACTGGAACAAAAAAAAATTATACATATTTCATCATAGTCTGCTTTGAATAACTTAAGACTGAAATAATAAGTTACTGTTTAACCCTAATGGTTAATAAAACAAGTGAGGTCATATATCTAAAACAGTCTTCAAATAATCAAGATTCAAAAAAGGTACAAAATATTTATGAAAAAAGTGCCATTTCCTCGAGCGCGATCTGGAGGACATGTTATATATGTGTGTGTGTGTGTGTGTGTGTGTGTGTGTGTGTGTGTGTGTGTGTGTGTGTGTGTGTGTGTGTGTGTACGTATGTGTATTCGTGTATGTGTTCGTATACGTGTATATACA